GCGCAAGGAAGGAGTTTTCACCGAGTTCGAGGATGGGAACACTGGTGAACGTGTGTACATGGGGAACTCTAGCAGCTCTGAAGTGTTAGGCAAAGGCAAGGTTTTACTCAAGCTGACTTCTGGTAAAACTCTGGCTTTAAATAATGTTATGTATGTACTTGCCTTGCGTAGAAATCTGATAAGTGGTGGGCTTCTGAATAAGGCAGGCATTAAGTTAGTTTTTGAGGCAGATAAACTTGTACTTTCCCGAAATGGTGATTATGTGGGGAAAGGGTTTTTAAACAATGGTTTATTTGTCATAGAAACTCAATTTAATGAAAATAAAGCTATCATTTATGCTTATATTGTTGAATCCATTGATATGTGGCATGCTAGATTAGGACACGTGAATATTCATGCTTTAAAGAAATTAATGAATATGAATAGTCTGCCAAAACTAGACACAACTAGCTTTAATAAATGTGAGATTTGTGTAGAAGCTAAGCATACTAGACCTCACTTTAAGATTGTTTCTAATAGAAAGACTGAAATGTTAGAACTCATTCATACTGATCTAGCAGATTTTAGAAACACTGAAAGTAAAGGAGGAAAACACTACTACATAAATTTTGTAGATGATTATTCAAGATATACAAAAGTTTATCTCTTAAGAACTAAAGATGAAGCTGAAAACTTCTTTCTTATTTATAAGGCAGAAGTTGAAAATCAGTTAGATAAGAGAATCAAACGGGTTAGATCTGATAGAGGTGGTGAATATGGATCTAATTTCTTAAAAGATATTTGTGAAAAGAATGGCATAATTCATGAAACATCAGCCCCCTATTTTCCTCAACAGAATGGTATAGCCGAAAGGAAAAATAGAACTTTAAAAGAGATGATGAATTCTTTACTAATAAGTTCCGGGTTATCTGATAACATATGGGGGGAGGCCATTCTATCGACAACTCATATCTTGAACCGAGCTCCTCATAAGAAATTAGATTATACTCCATATGAATTGTGGAAAGGATACGCTCCTAATTTACAATACCTGAAAGTGTGGGGGTGTCTGGCAAAAGTGGGCTTGCCAGACTTTAAGAAGTCCACCATCGGACCTAAAACCGTTGATGCAGTGTTTATAGGGTATGCTACGAACAGTGTTGCATACAGATTCATGCTTTTACAAGATTATTCTATTTGTGAGTCAAGAGATGTTGTTTTCTTTGAAAATACTTTTCCTTTAAAGGAACCGAGAATAAATATTGAAACACAAATAGAATATATTCCATCAACTTCTTCTAGTAATCCTGCTAGGTCTTCTGAACAAATTGATTTTGAGCCTAGAAGAAATAAAAGGCAAAGAGTTGAAACCTCTTTTGGACCAGACTTTATTACTTCCTTTATTTCTGAGATAAATGATTTAGACTTCATTTCAGATCCTATAGCTCAAATTTTTCTATTAGATGAGGATCTTAAAACTTTTGAAGAAGCTATAAGATCTATCGATGCTAGTTTTTGGAAAAGCGCAGTTAATGATGAACTAGAATCGATAATGTCTAATCATACTTGGGAATTAGTTGACTTGCCTAAGGGATTCAAACCAATCTCCAACAAATGGGTCTTCCGGAAGAAACTAAGGCCAGATGGTTCGATTCAGCGGTACAAGGCAAGATTATTCGTCAGAGGGTTCACTCAAAGGTTTGGTTTAGACTACTTTGATACATACTCTCCCGTTACAAAAATCTCAACGATTCGTGCATTATTTGCACTAGCCTCTATTCATAAGTTGCAGGTACATCAAATGGATGTTAAGACTGCTTTTTTGAATGGGGATCTAGATGAGGAGATTTACATGGAGCAGCCACTAGGTTTTGAGGCACCTGGTATGGAAGGCAAAGTCTGTAGACTCAAAAAGTCACTCTATGGACTTAAGCATGCTCCTAAACAGTGGTATGAGAAATTTCATAAAACTATTCTTAGCTTTGGTTTTGTTGTGAATGGTTCGGATGCTTGTGTGTATTCGAAGATGTTTGAAACTGAATGTGTTATCATAAGCCTTTATGTTGATGATATGTTGATTTTCAGTTCTAACATTGAGTCCATTAACAAAGTTAAAAATTTCTTGTCTACTAAGTTTGAGATGACAGATTTGGGAGAAGTAGATGTAATCTTAGGAGTCAAAGTTACTAAAACTGAGAAGGGATTTTCTTTATGTCAAGCACATTATATAAAGAAAGTGCTAAAGAAATTTGACAGTTTTGATGTCGTCCCTGTTCGAACTCCTTATGACCCTAGCATACATCTAGTTAAGAATAAAAGAAGTAGTGTTTCCCAAACTAAATATGCTAAATTAATCGGAAGCTTAATGTTCTTAATGAACTATACTCGGCCTGATATTGCTTATGTTGTGAGTAGACTAAGTAGATATACTCATAATCCGAGTGGTGAGCACTGGATTGCACTTAAACGCTTACTGAAGTATCTTAAGGGTACTGTGGATTGGAAACTTGAGTTTGTTGCTTTCTGCGGTACTGGAAGGATATTGTGATGCCAACTGGGTTTCTGATAATGATGAGGTAAGCTCTACGAGCGGGTATGTTTTTACTTTGGGTGGAGCAGCAATCTCGTGGAAATCATCAAAGCAGACTTGTATTGCTCGTTCTATCATGGAGTCAGAGTTTATAGCTCTTGACCTAGCTGGGTAAGAAGCCGAGTGGCTCAGAAACTTGTTAGCAGATATTCCATTGTGGGGAAGACCGACTCCTCCAGTTTCATTGTTGTGTGATTCACAAGCTGCGATATGTGTGGCTAAGAACCAAGCTTACAATGGTAAGAAAAGACATATTCACATAAGACATGAATCAGTTAGACACTTGATAAAATGGAGTGCTCTCTTTAGAGTATGTGAAGTCGGAAAGGAACCTAGCAGATCCACTTACCAAAGGGTTAAGTCGGAAGCTGGTCCTAGATTCGTCGAGAGGGATGGGTCTAAAGCCCATTGGTTAAGGAATTCATGGTGGATACCCAACTTAGTTATCTAAGTTCTATGTGGTCAAACGAAATCATGGAAAGACTCATAGTGCACATTCCTACTGCCTATCCCTATGATGAATAATGTGCATGCCAGGATGAGCTTAATTGCTCTTAATAAATTCATAGCCCAGGCTTTGGGTGGTCTTAGTGAGAAAGACTTGATGAATTTACCGATTTTGGCTGAATATCTATTTAATTTAAGTATAACCCAGAGTGAGTGGGTAGGAAATGATGAACTTACCGATAGAAAGTTTGAGTTTGTTAAACTCTTAATAAATTCAAATCCAAGTATTTGGATGGTTCTAGTGAGAAGGACTTATTGAATTTACCGATAAATGAGGTTGAATATTTTCTTAATGACTTCTTAGCCCAGAGTTTGGGTGGTTCATTTATAATGAACTTGAAATAAGTCACCATACCCTTTGTGAGGTTGAGCTATTATAAAAACTCTTAATTATTTCATATCCCTTTTTAAAGGGTGGTTTATGTGGAGATAAACTTGATGAAATAACCTATGTAAGTGAGAAGGGTTAGCCGCCTTCTATGAAAAATGTTGGGCCATTTTTCTAGCACACTTACTAGAATCCTGAGGTAAGATGGCCAAATATATACTTTTGTATATATATATCTTACACATCGAGGACTCAGGTGGATGAAGGGGTTAGTTATGTGTTATGAGTTTACCCTGATCTTAGAAAATTCCAGACTAGTTTCACTTATCTAAGAGAAGGATTGCTCATCATCACTATGTACTAGTTCCAGATATGTTCACTAGTGCTTAAGCAACTAATCTCGCTATTGCTCTTCTGGAAAGCTTGTTTTCGAGTTTCAGAAGATTTCTTTCGCATTAGTGGGGGAATGTTGGTTATGCTCAATCCCACATAGTGTTGGAAACACTATTGGGAATGGTATTTAAGGCTTGACATTCCACTTCCTTGTTGAGTGATAGAGAACAAGAGGGGCTCTCGCGCACCGCCGCCGCCGTCCGTCCGTCTCGTCTCGTCTCGGCTCGGCTCGGCACGGCTCGGCTCGGCTCGTGGTCGTGGTCGTGGTCGAGGTCGAGGTCGTGGTCGTGGTCGTGGTCGTGGTCGTGGTAATACGTGTCTTCGACACGTCCACGCGGATACTATCTTTTTAGAGAAAAATTCTTGAGGAATTTCTCTTTGAAAGAAACAAATGAAAAATGTGAAAGATATCAACTGATATTTATAGGCTGCTGAGGACTGTTTGAATTTCAAATTATAACAGCTGAATTATTTGTTATCAGAAATTAAACAGTTTATTCCTAAATTAAATCAGAAACGTTAAGATGTACCTGGACTGATTTACAGCTTTGTACAGAGGAGACAAGCTGTTAATATCAGGAGTTACATGAGTTATTTGATTTAATTCCAGGGGTTACATGATATAATTTCGGGAGTTATAACAGCTGAATAATGATACAATGAACCTGGACTATTTCTGAGTCAGGTTCATCTAGACGTTTCAGCTGTTACAAATAAGAGATTTAATCCTGAAATTTTATAGACGATTTTAACCCTATTTCTAGCCTATAAATAGAGAGCTATATTCAGCTTCTCAACTCATTCAAAAACATTCACAATTCACTTACAAAGTGTTTTCTAAAGTTTTCTCTGTGAGTTCTCTCTGAGTGCTTTCCGATCAGAAGTACAATACCACCAGCAGTCCACTCCGGTTTCGGGTGTACGGAATTCGGAGCGACCGTGTTAACCTCGGGGGACGGTCCGCCTACTGTAGCGATTACACACATCGGGGCGAATTCGTTTATAAGGCAGTGGTTCTTACCACGACACGGTTTAAGAATTTGTTCTTCTTAATTACTGTTTATATTTCCAGTTAGTGCTAACGGTGTAGTTTTGCAGTTCATATATCCAACAATCCTCACATAAATAATATAATTTGTTACAACTTTTTGATAATTTTCTTCTATAATTTTCACAGTATCACCCAATTAATTTTTGTTTGTTTAAGAAACCCTAATCACCCAAAAGTTCACATATGTTTTGAGATCAAAATCTCATCCTTTTGAAGCTTCAATTCCCTCTCCAACCTCAAATTTCCAGATTTGGTTCTCCGATTCAACCAGTTGATGATATCCGTAAATACAATCTTGATATTTTCTGACGTCTCACCGTACAACAATCTGTTCCACTTCCCGAGATACAACTTGAAATTCTTGTCCGGACTTGCTGCAACATCATACAATAGTTGGCTCACTGCTTTATCTGTTACTCTGTCATCTCCTACGTGTAGTACCATAAATGGTAATGAAACCTATTCCAAATTAGCAACTAAAATTTTTAAGATTCGAATCTCCAACCCATTGAATTAACATCTTAAAGTTTTATCAAACATCTTTTTCGATTTAATTAAGAAAAAAAGGAAGTATTAATTCATCGTACATACTCAAATTATGACCAAAGTAACCCGATAATAGAAAGGCTAGATTGATACTATATCAATAGTTTAGAGACTGAATTGCAATTAGAGATGAGTTTGGGGATGTTTTGCGAAATTAACCTGAAAAGGGTAAGAATAAACGAACCTCATGAAGTCTTTGCTCAAGCTCCAAGCTAGTGTTTAGAAGTTCATTGACAGTGTTCAAACGAGGACGTCCTTTGTAGCAATAAGGATTTGCTCTGACCTGTAATTTAAATTTAAATTTTAAATTAATAAACTATAATTTTATATAAACATATAATAGTTTTCAATGTCATTTATTTATATATATTTAAAATAAATTATCAAACAACAAATTAATTATTATGACATTTAAAAAACTATTTTGGTCATCGAACTTTTTTTAAAAAGATCATCACTAATATTATGCTTTTTTTTTATTTTGATCATCCGATGTTTAAAAATTAATGATAATTATGATATAATTTTTTCTCATTTTTTAATTTCCACATTATTTTCTTTGGTGAAAAAATAAAAAAAATAACTTAATGAGGATTTTTCCAAAAGGATGGTGATCAAAATAAACAATAATAATAACTGGGTGACTAATAGGGTAGTTTACACTTGGGAAAACAAATACCTGTGCTCTTATCTCAGGATGTTTAAAAGTAGTGTCAATGACATCTTGGACCGGAACTATTCGCCACGTTGGAATTTTGACAATGCAGCTATTAAAGCGCAAATCATGCATGCATGCATGGGATTGTGACAAAGTGACAAAGTGAGGGGGCCAGCACGCAGGGAAGTAAACAACAAGCTGCCCTTTTTGGTGAGTGAAGTGAGGGGGCCAGCACACGCATGCCAACAGCTTCTGGCATGAAGAACGCATGGCGACCTTCTGCATGGCGACCTGCTTGGTCGCGGGGCTTGCATGACGATCAAGAGGTTGCTACCCAACAGCTCGCAGAGATGCCTGGGAGACCTCCTACGTGCTCGGAGTACATGACGACCTACGTTCTTATTGTAGAATTCACCCTATATCAGCAATTAATCCAGCTATAACATTATCTCATGAATTAATTATTTTGAGAACATTATCTCATGGAATTTGCCAAGTATTCCAAATAGGGGTGGCAATCAATATATCTTAATCTAATTTTAAAATTATGAAAAGTTTTATGCTCTTACAAATTAATATTATTTCTTGTATAAAAATACACTTGACTTGACGGTACGGTTTATATATATATATATACACACACATATTTAAATTGTTTAAAATGTTAAAAATAACAATACCATGCAACCCTTGATATCGTCGAATGTAATACCCCTTTTTAATTTTAAAAAGTCAACGCATGGAAAACCTTAATGCCTCTCGGCCGTGTTCCTTCGGCACCCCCCCTCCCCGATTGGAGGCACCTTCACTAGTAATCTAGATGGTCTCGAGGTGATGGTTTCCCCATCTCTGGAACGATCGGGTTCTCCCTCGCTGGAGGAGTAACGAACAACGAAGAAGTTAAGAAAGAAAGCAATGGATGTAGAGTTTTTTCGAATGTTACAGATGGTATGTTAGTCCAGATGATTGAGGCGGATATCGTTGATGGAGATGTTGTTGTGATGAATGATGGACCTAATGATGGGCAACATCAGGTTGTGGGAAAATAATCGTATGCCAACGCTGTTATGGGTTCATCAACCAAACGGTGGATGCAGCTTTGTTACAAGTAATGCATGAGGTTGTTGTCCTCGATGATGAGTGTTTTGTACATAACAAGGGCCCTTATCCTTTTATCCAATTCGTTGATCAAGTCCATGATCGAATTGATTTTAGCATGAGGTGCTCGATATAGTTCATTTACTTGGTCGTTCTATTGGTTTTAAAACCCTATTAACTCGTTTAGGTTTGCTATGGCCACCACAGGGACAATATCAGGTTATTGATTTAGATGATGATTATTTTCTGATTAAGTTTGAAAGCAAACATGATTACGTTCACGTTTTAACAGAGGGTCCGTGGATAATATATGGTAGTTATCTTACAGTTCAATCTTAGAGCCGTACTTTATCCATGTCAAAAAGCATCCATCGCAAGTCATCGTTTGGGTTTTCTTGTCGGGACTTCCTTGTCGATATTACTCTAAAGCTTTATTTCGTCGTATTGCTGATGCTGATGTTATTTGACAAGTTGTGAATATGGATTATAGCACAAACTCGGGAGAGATGTGTCGGTTTGCTCGTCTGGCTATGATGGTGAATCTAAACAAACCTCTAGTTTGTGCCTACGCATTGATGGATTCGGGCAGAAACTGGAGTACGAGGATCTCCAACAAACATGCATGCTTTCAATATGGTGTTTATGGTCATCGAAATAGAATTATGGAACTCATGAGAAAGCCGTAGAAGGACATACTGAGGATATTGTATCTACTGCAAAAAGCGTCAAGATCAAGTTTTGCTTTGTTGAATGATTTGAATAGGATTGAAGACGAAAATTCTGCAGGGAGGACAGTTACTACCACTGAAGAACCAGTTAAGACGAATGGACCTCTTCCTTCAAATGATCAGATCGCCTTTGAAAATAATGGACAGGGTAATTTAGGCCGAAAACACACTGAATCAGGTAACTCAACGATACAACATATCAATGTAGTGGCCATAAGTGAAGGTAAAGTGCCAAAAGTTACTGAACAAAGAAAGGTTAATGTTAAGGGGAATCATGAAGTGGTTATTATCTCAGAGGAAGGCCAGAGCAAATAATCAGGAGAAGTTTTCAATGAGAGTATAAATAAAACTCTTTTGGTGTTGGTTTCAAAGGTCAAAACCCCAGTTTCGTCCTATTACTTTGTGTTTTGTTCTCTATAAATTGATAACGAAGATAATTGTGAATCATTTGAAACCGTTACTTGTGGATTGGGTTTCCAAAAACCGAACGAGCTTTATTCCGGGACGGTTTATAACTGACAACATTATTACGCAAGAATTGATTCATTCTATGCACTCGAAGAAGGGTAAAGCTGGTTTCATGGCAATCAAAATCGACGGCGTATGACCAACTGGATTTTATTGATGATAGTTAAAGGGACCTCATTCTATGTGCAAGATGTGTGACTTCTGTTTCGACTCAAGTGCTATGAAATGGTTCAACGTCTGAGCCTTTCAAACCGATTAGAGGGATTCGACAAGGTGATCCCTTATCTCTCTATTTATTCATGTTTTGTTTGGAGCGTTTGGTTCAGACAATGAGTGGGGAAGTTGGAAGTGGGGTGCGGAAACATGTTCGGTTGTATTGTAATGGTCTTGGAATTTCTCACCTCTTTTTTTCCGATGACATGGTACTATTTGATGAGGCTTCCTTGGATGATTTCAAGTGATTGGTGATGTTCTTGATGAGTTTTGCCGAGCATCGGAACACAAGTATTTCAAAAACTAAAATCTTTTTTCTACAAAAATATGGACCCTACTCTTTGTCATTCCATTAGTTCGAAGTTTGGCTTCCATGAGGTCCAAAATTTGGGGATGTATTTAGGAGTTTCCGTTATTCACTCTCGGGTAACGAAAGCTTCTTACAGTTACATTGTTTCTAGAGTTCGGGATAAACCTCTGTTTTGAAAACCAGACCGGATCGATCGGTTCAACCGAGAATCGTTGTTTAATCCGGTTCAATCTAAACCGGTTGAACCGCTATTAGTGAACCGGCCAGAACCGTTGAACCGTTCAAACCGGATCGGCTGAAAACCGGAAAAAACCGAAAAAAGCGGGATTTTTGTTTAAAAAAACCAAATTAAACCAAACAACGTCGTTTGTTAAACGAGCCAAGTCGAACTCGAGTATTGCTGAGCTCGACTCGAACTTGAAAATTTTAAAAGTAAGCTCAACTCAACTCAAACTCACAAGCTAAAAATTATCAAGTTCAACTCAAACTCGAAATATAATATTGAAACTTGAACTCAAAAAGGTTTAAACTAAAAAAAAAAAATTAGAAACTCGATTGAAGCCTAAAATTCGAGCTTGATTGAAGTGAAAGAATAGTTCACTCAATGCTCACCAAAAGGCTCCATGATTTTGAATGCCAAATTACCTGTATTATTTATAGAAGTTAGTTGTGATGCGCTTCTATGTTTCTTAGTAATGTGAGATTGTTTTGTTCTCATATTTTTTCTCTTTAGACTTTTAGGATGCTCTTCTATGTTTCTTAGCCATGTGGGATTGTTTTTAAAAAAAATTAAATTAAACAATATCATTTTGTTATGATTTTTTAACCCCAAATTTATTTTTTAATTATAGTTATATAATTATATTTATTATTTAATATGTTTTACCTTAAATATTATATTGTAGTTAATTTGAATCATTTTGTTTCACTTGATTTTATGGTTTTTAACTTATATATGTTATGACTTATTTTGAATATGACTTGTGATATAAAAATTATTTTTTATTAAATATTTTTGGTATTTTTATTTAATTTTTTAAATAATTATGACGTCATCCGATTTTTCCGACCGATCAGATCGATTCGACCGATTGAACCAATAAACCGGTAGCATGACCAGTTCACTAACCGGTCCGGTTCTGAAAATCATGGGATAAACTTACTGGTTGGAAGACGAGATATTTATGTTTGACAGATAGGATCACGTTTTCTAAAAAGGTTTTATCTACTATTCCATTTTATTCTATGTAGACCACATTACTTCCCATAGGAATCTGTGAAGAGATTGAGAAGATCATTCGTACTTTTATTTGGGGTCATACGGAATCTAGAGGTGGAGTCCACCTTGTCAACTGGAATGACGTTTCGTAAATCCACCATAGTGGACATGGAACGAAGAAACTAGAGCTTCAAAATGTCGCTTTTTAATGAAGATATCCTACAACATCATGCATAAGGAGGATCAACTTTGGGTTAGAATTCTTCCAACTAAATATAAATCATTAATGTGTACACCAGACTCTATTGATCAAAAGAATTGTTCCTGCCTTGGGAAAGGAGTCTCTACTGTTTGGAATGATGTTCGTCAGAGTATTGTTTGGAACATCGGTGATGGTTGTCGTGTAGATTTGGGGATGGGCACGGGTGGGACGGGCCGATTTTTTGGTCGCCCTGCCCTAAATTCGACACTGTCCCTCCTTTTTAGATTTTCTTTTGCCCCAATTGTCTCGAATTTTAGATTAAAATCATGATCCCGATCTGATCAGGTCTGAATATATTAATATTTTAAAATAATTAAAATAATATATTTTACAATAATATATTAATAATTATTTATTATATTTTAAACTATTAAATAATATTTTTATTATATTTTTAATAATTAAAGAATATATTTTAATAATATAAAAATAAAAATCTCTATAATTTTAAATATATTGTATATAAAAAAGATAAAATAATAATTTATACTGGGTCGGGTCAATTTTTTCACCTTAAACTCGAAACCATCCCACCCCAAATTATATACCAAATTATATACCATCTAACCCGCCCTATCCTGATCTATGAATTTTTAAAAAAAATCCACCCTAGTGTCGGGTTCAAGTATTTTGACCATCCTGTAGATTTTTGGGGTGATGCATGGCTTAGAGATCTGGGTCCTTTGCAGGATCATTTTTTGGTTCAGTCGATGAGAGACTCACTTCCTAGTTAGAGTGTTGCTTCCATGGTTGATCAGAATGGGGATTGACGTTGGTCAATTCTATGTAATCTTCTGCCGGATCCTGTTTTGCTCCGCCTGACCGCCATGATGCCTCCACTACGAAGTAATAGGATGGATTTTTGGGGCTGAAAATGGAGAGTCGGTCGCTGTTTCTCGGTTAAATCCGCTTATGGCATTCGATTAGGTGAACCTTGTGATCATCCACACAAAGTATGAGAGCTTATTTCAAAGTATCGTGGGTTAC